AAAAAAGAAGATAAAAATAAAAATTTTCAATTAAAAAAATATTTTTTCCATCTTAATTTAAGGTGAAAATTTTTGAGTCAATATAATGACATGACTCGAACTCGACATGAATTTTATGACAAGAACTTGATTAACTCAAACACGAAAATAAATAGGTCAACTCGTAACTTGACACGACACAATTAGTTAAATGAGTTCAGTTAAGTGTAACTATGTTCGACACAAATATGTAATAACTTAACATGAATTTAACACGATACGACTCAATTGTCACCTCTAATCTCAGTTGGTACANAATGACATGACTCGAACTCGACATGAATTTTATGACAAGAACTTGATTAACTCAAACACGAAAATAAATAGGTCAACTCGTAACTTGACACGACACAATTAGTTAAATGAGTTCAGTTAAGTGTAACTATGTTCGACACAAATATGTAATAACTTAACATGAATCTAACACGATACGACTCAATTGTCACCTCTAATCTCAGTTGGTACAAAAAAAAATTATTATTTTTATTTTTCATTTATTCAACCAAACACAAAAGAAAAAAAAATTATTATTGTTATTTTTTTTCTTTAAAATATAGAAAATGTATATCTTTTATTTTTATTCTCTCTATTTTTTATTCTTTCTACTAAACGAAGCATAAAAGAATCGAAAAAGACTTAACGGCAGGTACGAAGCTGTGGTNTTTTTCATTTATTCAACCAAACACAAAAGAAAAAAAAATTATTATTGTTATTTTTTTTCTTTAAAATATAAAAAATGTATATCTTTTATTTTTATTCTCTCTATTTTTTATTCTTTCTACTAAACGAAGCATAAAAGAATCGAAAAAGACTTAGCGGCAGGTACGAAGCTGTGGCCAAATACTGGTTTCGGTGAACTAGAAAAACCATAGACTCAAGCTACGCGCTTTCTGCCAATCAATTACCAAAACTATTATAAACCAATAAAAAAAAAGCAATAAGAACAGAAGGGACCACGCGCTTCCTCACAGGATTAACGTAACCTTCCAAAACATTTCCTGGCGTCACAATCCGGTGTCCGGTCAAAGCCGCATCCATTCGATATGAGCTAAGCGACAGTTGTTACAACGTGTGCCGCCGCCGACGCTGTTCACTTTGTCAAACGTTGCCATGTGCGGTTTAACTAGATACTTCCTTGCCATTGTTAAGGGAGAATTATAACAAAGTCCCTCAGGTTGTCATTTAATCAGACGAATTTCTTCAATTATGAAAATTACACTATAATCCCCCTATAGTGACAGTGAACCAACGACCTNAGCTAAGCGACAGTTGTTACAACGTGTGCCGCCGCCGACGCTGTTCACTTTGTCAAACGTTGCCATGTGCGGTTTAACTAGATACTTCCTTGCCATTGTTAAGGGAGAATTATAACAAAGTCCCTCAGGTTGTCATTTAATCAGACGAATTCCTTCAATTTTGAAAATTACACTATAATCCCCCTATAGTGACAGTGAACCAACGACCGTTACGAAAAAGTGTAGAATGACCAATTTGTCCTTGAATAAAAAATAAAACAAAATCAATTCACCCAAATCCTAATCCAAATCAAGACCCCACCATCCAGACCCAAACCCAAAATCTATCACTATTTCTTCCGCATCAACACCACCGCAGCCCCACCATCCCATCCCACAACAATAAATACCCTCTGAATATTAATTAAGTGTTTTGTATTGTAATATTTTTTGTTAATTTTTTAATGGGACTTGCATGGGCAGTTTAGATATTTCATATTAAACAAATGATGACATAATCAAAATTTGGCAGTCTTTCTAACAGATCAAAACATCTCGCGTCTATCTGTAATGTAAAACAAAAATTTCAAGGGATTACGGCGTGATTTTTCATACTTAAAAGAGTCCGCGTAATTAGTGACAAATCTCAAATAGTCTTGTTATAATACATTACCAGAAATAACTCGTGTCAAAAGATACGGTACAACGTAAGTGATAAGAGATAAATTTTAAGAGGAAAAAATTTAATGTGAATAATTTTGAGAGGGATGTTGACAGCTATTTGATGATTCTATTTGAGACCGTCAGATGAATTTATTAAAATCTATTATATTTTATATTATAGATTTAAACTCTTGACCATAATATAAATGATTTTTTTGACTCTGCAATATAATTTATATCTACATATATATTTAAAAAATATGTTTTACTATGATAATTACATGGTAAGTAGGTCTGTGTTTATAGAATAACTATCTATTAGAGTTTGAAATTTTAATTTCTTCACACTATAATCGTCTTCAAATTATATACGTTAGATCACATGGAACCCAAACTAATAACCTCGATTTCTACACACTATCAATCCATATTCACTTTAATGTATTTTTTGTGAATTTATGTTAATGCTATCGTTTGGGTGCTCTTTTATGGTTTCTCTTCGGTCAGGTTTGGATGTTATTTCTAGTGGTGTGATTAAATTGTAATAGTGTCTTTTTTTCTGGGTGTTCGATGTTTTTTAATTGTAATAAAGACTAGTTGGATCATATCATGGGTAAAACCGTAAAAATANGTCAGGTTTGGATGTTATTTCTAGTGGTGTGATTAAATTGTAATAGTGTCTTTTTTTTCTGGGTGTTCGATGTTTTTTAATTGTAATAAAGACTAGTTGGATCATATCATGGGTAAAACCGTAAAAATAAGACAAATCTCTTGGTACGAGACTCCTTGTGTGTGTTGGACGATACTAAATGCTATATAAGGAAATTACTTCATTAGGTACCTTCACTCGAATAGAAAAAGGTTTGTCAAGAAGATTGTGAAAAAGGGTGCGTATATCTAATTTTTTTACTTTGGTACATGAATATGAAAAATAGGTCACTTTATATATTTTTCGGTGAACATTGTCTCTCAATATCACACAGTTATATATAAAATATTACATCACATCTATGTCAAAACCAAATCTAATTAGGGTCTCACCGCTTGCTCTGAGAACTAAAATATAAGTTAGCCCCTACTGAACTATCGTAATTATAAACAAAACAAATTAACTTCTACTCACCAAACCAACGATTTTGTTGGTTTTTGTCTTTGTTACTACTTCCATCAAATTATATAATCTAAATTTGAATTCTTCTCTTTCTTTCATCAGAATGTTTTGATTCCTCCCAACTATAATCTCGATTTTACTTTTTTCTTGAATTAAGAAATTCTAGTTTTTCCTATCATCTCATCAGTTATTTAAATTAGTTTTACATTATCCAAAACACTCATTATTTTTGTGGATAACAAATGCACTCATATCGGGACGAAAGTGAAACAAATTCACATACTGCAAATCCAAATGAGACAATGTTTCGTCGAATTTGTGATGAAGGGGGGAAGTATGAAACTAATAAACAGAGTAAAGTATATAATGTAAAAGAAAGGGTAACTGGGGGGACAAATGTGAGATGGGGACCATAATAGAGGGGTTTTAAAAACAATTTTTCTTAAATTAAATTTTGGGAGAATTACTCTCTGACCTTTTGAGGTATTACTTAATCAGCCAGTCTAATGTCATTCGTTAGTTAATTACACCTAACCCCCTGAAATTCATAGATATATAATATTTAGACCTCTTAAGTATATAATGTTATATTTAGACAAAAAAATATTTTAATTAAAATAGAATATCAAATATTTTAAATTTTAAAATAAAAATTTATATTCTATTGTATCATTTATTAACATAAAATCAAAAATTAAAAATTATTTTTTTCTTAAAAATCGTAAATATATAGATAATAAAACTAAAAAATAAACAATGGGTCTGTAATGGACATAATATATTTTAACTTTAATTAGGGTAATTTGGTAATTAAATTATAATAGATAGTATAATTATATACTAATTATGATTTTTTTTTAAAATAAAAATTTTATTTTTAATTTTATTTTAATAAATGTCATAATAAAACATAAATTTTAATTGTAAAATTTAAAATATTTGATATTCTATCTTTAATTGAAATATCCTTTGTCTAAGTATAATATTTTAAATTTAAGGGGTCTAAATTAGACATCTACAAATTTTAGAGAATTTAAATATAATCTATTAACATATATTTGATAACAAGAAACCTCGTATAATTTGTATATAATATTTTAAATACTTGAGAGTACGAGGGATTAAGTGATTATAATTCTCCTTTAAATTTTAATGCTCTGTTTGGTGGGGAGGATGGAAAGTAGGAGGGATACACTTTCTATTTTTCAAGGATGAAAAATATGAAGAATACACTTTTATTCCTTTGTATTTGGTTGGATGAATGAAAAATAAAAATGACTGTTTTGTTTTTTTGTGCAGGCTAAGATTAGGGGTGACAATCGAGTCAAGTCGTGTCGTGTCAGATTCGTATTGAGTAGTTACGAGTTTGTGTCGAATATTAGTCAAATCTAACATAACTCATTTAACTAATTGTGTCGTGTCGAGTTGTGAGTTGACTTGTTTATTTTCGTATCGAGTTCGAGTTCGAATCGTGTCATCGTGTTGAGTCAAAAATTTTTACCTTTAGTTAAGATGGAAAAAATATATATTTTTTAATTAATTTTTTTAAAATATATATATATATATACACACACATATTTTACCTTTTTTATTTTTATATGAAATTAATGTATATATATATATATATATATATATATATAAGATACATCTTAAAACAAATAATTAACTTTCCATTCATTTTCTTTCCGATTTTAGAGGGATTGATTTTGGTGAGTTAAAAAAAAAATTAATCTATCAATTTTTTAATTTTTTTTTTCTTATAAATAATATTTTATTTATCTCTCAATTTTTTTATCTTTTCGAGGCCAATTCCGTCACTTTTCCATCGTACGGAGCATAAGAGGACGTTGGAACCAAGTCCTTGGACAATGAGACGGTAGCATACTATCGTTTTTAGAGAAAGAGAAAACGCCGTTGATTACCTTCACCGTCTGTGCCTGCTGTCTCAAAAAACCCACCCCCTTTGAAGACCCCAACAAAGCTCAGACCCAACACCTCTCTCTCACACACACACACACACACACACACACAATCCACCACCGCAACCATCCAAGATCCCAACAATGGCGTCCCTAAACCACCTCCTCTCCCTCACCACCCTCCTCCTCCTCCTCTCTCTCTCCTCCTCCGATGACTCCGCCGTCATGTCCAGCTTCGCTTCCTCTCTCACCCCCACCCCATCTAGCTGGACAGGCACAAACTACTGCAATTGGAGCGGCATCAGCTGTGACAATTCCAATCGAGTCACATCCATCAACCTCGCCTCCCAATCTCTCTCCGGCTCACTCCCTTCAAATCTCAACCAGCTCTCCCAGCTAAAAAGTCTCTCACTACAGAAAAACTCTCTGTCTGGACCCTTACCTTCTCTAGCCAACCTGACTTCCCTCGAGCAAATCTTCCTTGACAGCAACGATTTCAATTCATTCCCTGGGGATTTTGTTCTGGGTCTGACGAATCTACAGATTTTGAGTTTAAGTGATAACCCAAATTTAGCTCCTTGGGTGATTCCGACCGATTTGACTCAGAGTAGTAGTTTGGGAACCTTTTCTGCGAGTAATGCTAGCATAGTTGGTACTATGCCAGACATCTTCGGTGCGTTCCCGAATCTGCAGAATCTCAGGCTGTCATACAATAATCTCACTGGTCCATTGCCCAATTCTTTGGGTGCTTCGGAGATTCAAAATCTCTGGCTCAACAATCAGCTACTCGGGCTATCAGGGACAATCTCTGTGTTGTCCTCGATGATCCAGCTCTCCCAAGTCTGGCTTCATGCGAATTCTTTCACGGGTCAGATTCCAAATCTCTCCAAATGCACAAATCTCTTTGATTTGCAGCTCCGTGATAACCAGTTTACTGGGGTTGTCCCTCCTTCATTGATGACTCTTCCTAAGCTTGCTAACGTAACTTTGCAGAACAATAAGTTGCAGGGTCCTTTGCCAGTGTTCAACAATGGAGTTCAAGCCACACTTGGGACTACTAATAGCTTTTGCAAGAGCACTCCTGGGGATTGTGATCCACAGGTCACTGCACTTGTTGCGGTTGCTGGGGCTTTTGGGTATCCCATGTCTCTAGCTCAGTCTTGGGTGGGAAATAATGCTTGCCAAGGATGGTCTTTTATTGTCTGTGATACACAGGAAAAGAATGTCATCATTGTCAACCTTGGGAAGCAGCGTTTTTCAGGTACTATCTCACCTGCCTTTGGGAATTTGACGTCGTTGAGGAATTTGTTGTTGAATGATAATAGTCTCACTGGTTCAATTCCGGATAGCTTAACAACTTTGCCTCAGCTTCAAACTCTTAATGTGTCTAATAATAATCTTAGTGGGCCTATACCAGTTTTTCCATCAACTGTGAAGTTTATTACTACTGGTAATCTGTTTCTTGGGCAAAATACTACTTCTGGGGGTGGAGGAAATAGTGGATCACCTGGGTCTGGATTGAATTCTGATGCACCCGGTGGGAGTCCACCTGGTAATAAAAAAGGGTCATCGGTTTCATCGGGTATGATTGCTGGTGTTAGTATTGCTGTGGTGGTTTTTGTTGGAGTTGTATTTTTTGTGTCTTACAAGTGCTATGTCAAGAGAAGGCATCGGAGGTTTGGCAAGGTTGTGGGTTCCGAAAAAGGGAGTGAAATGGTGAAGACTGACATAATGGGTGGTATCAACGGTTATGGTGGAGTCCCGAGTGAATTGCAGAGCCAGAGCAGTGGCGATCATGGTGAAATGCCTGTTTTTGAAGGTGGGAATGTTGTGATTTCAATCCAAGTTCTAAGACAAGTTACGGACAATTTTAGTGATGATAATGTATTGGGTAGAGGAGGATTTGGAGTTGTTTACAAGGGGGAATTGCATGATGGGACTAAGATTGCTGTGAAGAGAATGGAATCTGGGCCAATGGGTACCAAAGGAATGAATGAGTTTCAAGCAGAAATCGCGGTCCTTACAAAAGTTAGGCATAGGCATTTGGTTGCTCTTCTAGGTTACTGTATTAATGGCAACGAGAGACTTTTGGTATACGAGTACATGCCACAAGGGACTTTAAGCCAGCATTTGTTTGAAAGGCAGGAGCATGGGTACCCTTCTCTTACATGGAAGCAGAGAGTGACAATAGCATTGGATGTGGCAAGAGGTGTCGAGTATCTGCACAGCTTGGCACAACAAAGTTTCATTCATAGAGATTTAAAACCCTCAAACATACTTCTTGGGGATGATATGAGAGCCAAGGTTGCAGATTTTGGTTTAGTCAAACATGCACCTGATGGGAAGTATTCTGTTGAGACACGGTTGGCTGGAACATTTGGATATCTTGCACCTGAGTATGCTGGTCAGTGAAAATGTCTTTGTGCTATTATATTATTGGAGTTATTTCAAAACTTGCATATAACAACTAGTATCAGCTATAGCATCACTTAGTTGGGCATTATTATATTGATGCTGCCTCTTAAACTATTCTAATTTTGCATAGCCTGTTTTTTGCCCTTTATGATGAACTTAGGTTTTGCATCTCTAATCAAATCAACTCTAACTGAATTAGCCAATTAGGCAAGATTTTGTATACTGCAAATGGGACATAAGGGCATAACATAGGAAAGCAGATAGCTGAAATATTTTCGATTGAGTGGGAACATAATTAGTAAAAGAAGCCAATTCCAAAAATACTCATAATTGTCGTAACCCATCAAAGGATTATGGCATAGCCAACCTCGCCTTTTCATCCCAACCTCAATTAAGGATAGCAAAGAAAAGGTAGCAATGATGAGGAGGATGATTTGTTTACCTGCATTTTGGTTCTGGATCAATGAAATTTTTTAACACATCAACAAATATATTTTGCAACAAATGTCCTCTGTTTTCCTATACTTTCATTTCATTCTCTTTCGTCTCATTTTTTGGCCATATGCATTCATTTCATTGTTTACCTTCTTATGCTTTTCTCTTTCTAGAAGGCTCATATATTTTGGCCATTTCAAATTTGGTCCTGTCCTGCATCTAATTTATGTAATTTTCCCAAGATCTGTTTTCCTTAAATCTAGATTATTTCTGTTTTGTTGTCTAACAGCTACTGGAAGAGTGACTACTAAAGTGGATGTTTATGCGTTTGGAGTTGTTTTGATGGAGATAATCACTGGTAGAAAAGCATTAGATGAGACCATGCCAGACGAGAGGTCTCATTTAGTCTCATGGTTCCGTCGGGTACTTATCAACAAGGACAACATTCAAAAGGCTATCGACCAAACCCTTGACCCTGATGAAGAAACCTTCGAGAGCATTTGCAGGGTGTCTGAGCTGGCTGGTCACTGCACAGCACGCGAGCCATTTCAGAGACCAGATATGGGTCATGCTGTCAATGTGTTAGGTCCCCTTGTAGAGCAGTGGAAGCCTTCTTCCCATGAAGAAGAGGAAAGCAATGGCATTGACCTTCACATGAGTCTTCCTCAAGCCCTTCAAAGATGGCAAGCCGACGAAGGTACTTCCACAATGTTTGGTGGTCGGTCCTACAGTGATACCCAATCAAGCATTCCATCAAAACCTTCAGGATTTGCAGACTCTTTTGATTCGATGGATTGCAGATGACTTTAAACGAAACCAAGATCATTGGGAAGCAGAGACCGCAGCACGATATCAAGTTGAGGGAAAGAGAGATTGATGGAGCCTTTCACACTGATCCTCCTTTGAGTCACCAAAGATTACTGTGGTATTTAATTTAAATTTAATTTTTTTTTTGTTCTTTATATATATGTCGTCTATTTGTTTGTTATTCTTATGATCTCTGTTGTGTGACAAAAGCTGAAACAATAGAGCAGTTTGTTGTATTTTGGTTGGATTCGTCAAAGCTGTAGAGGTTTATGTGGAGAATATGATGGTAAGGGGTTTAAATCAGAAAGGGAAAGTATGTATGNTATATATGTCGTCTATTTGTTTGTTATTCTTATGATCTCTGTTGTGTGACAAAAGCTAAAACAATAGAGCAGTTTGTTGTATTTTGGTTGGATTCGTCAAAGCTGTAGAGGTTTATGTGGAGAATATGATGGTGAGGGGTTTAAATCAGAAAGGGAAAGTATGTATGAAATTATTTTACTCTAATCATTATGTATATCCATTTCTTTTTCTTTATGTCATGATTTTTTTTTTCCCAGCAAAAATTTTAGAAATTTCCAGGCCTATTGGTTTGTTCTGGTTAAAATAAGAAGAGCAATGCTATAGAACTTGATTTGGGGACCTAGTTTGGGACTTAAGTCATTGTCCACTGCTAGATAAGCTTATTTTTAAATCAACAATCGTTAGTTATTAGGTTATTAAATTAAGTACAAATAACATTTTTATAAATAAGAAATGGAACATAGGAGAACCCACTTAGTGATTGAGTTGGCTTGGGCGAAGGTTTTTAAAATTTAGTTTTTGGGTTTTTTTTCCTATGTCGGAAAATTCGTGCACTGATATATTTTCTTTAAAATCTTTTTTCTAAGCTTGATTTATTTGACATTGAGTCAGCGTAAAACAGGTGAAACTGAGGAATATTTATGTGCCAGCTACATCCAACTGATTAATATGGACCAAAAGGGTTCTGATAAATTTATAAAAACTGCCTGGATCTAAGCTGGCAAAGTGGGAAAGGGATTTTATTTTATTTTTAAATGTTTTTATGGTGGGGTTTTTATATTGAGCTTGGTGGGTTTGATGCTGAAGTAATCTCACATTGATGAAAGACACCATGTTGGGGTTGCTTGATAAAGGGCCCTTTTTACTGAGAAAAGACTTTTAGTAGTTGTTGTGGTGCACATGTTGTGGGGCCCTTTTTCTCAATCTTTTTTGTTGGAATTATTAGGGAGATTGATGGGTTTGGTACGTAACTATGATCCTAAATTATAATAATGGGGATGATAATGACCACTTAATGTATGGGCCCATGATGTAATAGCATAAGATTTGACTTGGACGGTATTTCAAGTTGGCGTGACCATGTGGTTGTTGGTGATTGATTGATGTGACTATGGGTTTTTGGACGGCAGCTATGAAAGTAATTATGTGAGATTTGGGTCACAGTCCAATTCATAAGGACTCACCACCTTCTTATGAGTACTGGGTCCGAATCTCATGGGTTAGAAGGCAGGTGAGATTCGGGTCATAGTCTAGTTGACTGTTAAAATTTTGGAGAGGATGATATTTATTTAAGGTATCATGCGTTTGTATTTCACCATCATTATGATCTAAAGATTTTCGCACTTTTCTTAGTCTAAAATCTAGGCAGAACTATATTTGATGCCATGTTTTAGTCTGTTTTATGTTAGAGTTATTAATTGAGGATTTTTTTTCAAAGATTTCTCTCTTTTTTTTTATTTTTTTTATTACAAGCGTCTAAACTTATGTCGACGGCTTTGTCAAATCAACGGTCAGCCATCGTGAGTTAAGCTGATCTAGAACATGTCGTTAAGGGTATGTTTTATATGTGTGTTTGAAGGGGTTTTGGATTCTGGATTAAGGATTAAACCCCTTTAAACTCATGTTTAACAACTATGCATTTAGTTCAGGGTTTGAAATCCGGCCCGGTCATGGTCCGACCATAAAACTCACATACTGGGGTTTCATGAAACCTAAAAAAGGGGTGAGTTTCATATGTGGATTAATGAGTTTAACATACAAATGATATTTATACTCTCATATATTCTATATACCCCATATAGTTAATGTGCATAATAGTCATTTATATACAAATATATTATCAAAATAGTCACATATCCAAGTGCATACCAAACATGGGTATGGACAACATTGACTGTTAAATTTCATCTTTGGGTCAAATCCGATAAGTCAATTCAAACATCTCCCAAAAAATATACCAAACAGACCCTAAAGGAATAAAGGGTGTTGGAGTATGTCTCCTTTTAATCATGTGGAGTTTCCTATGCTGTGTCTGGTCTAAGTTAGCTGAACGAACTCCGCCATATCAGTTGTTCCCATTCCAAAGGCTCGACTTGGATGACTGAAGGAAATTATCAAGATAGGCTTAGCTTGGTTTATCTAACACATATAATGGTGGCTCATCTAAAATGTTTTAACTCTTTTCTTAGCACTTAGCAGGCCGGATTTGTTTGATCTTTCAGCTGTTCAAAGAAAAAATAATGTGTTGGGCATATACTTCACTGCCATATGGATTGCTCTTGATTGTTCATTCGAATGCATAAGAAGGGAAAGCTTGGAGGGAAACTCCTTATAACCTTTGCTCTCTTCACATGTGATTCCATATTATGAGTGGAATCCAAAACAAATGTTCTGAAATTTCTTTTGATTTGGCAACCTTTTTTTTTATAAATATAATGATTCCAAACTTAAATTATAGTGTGAATGTTTATCTTACCAAAAAATCTATTGATGATCTGAATTAAATTTCTCTATCTTTAAGTTTCTATGTGTCAAGTCGTAGTGTTTGAGTCGACTATTTAGGGTGAAATCTCCCTGCTATTTTAGAGTAAAGTTGCCACGATCAACAATTACCTTGCGTAGAGTAGTCATTGCCCCAGCTTCAAAGGAGTGAAATGAGATTGAGGTGAGAGTTGAAGGGTATAAATTATAATTTTCCCTAATTATAATTAATTTTTTTTGGCGTTAGCAGAGAAATGCTTAGCTGGCATTGATCTTTCATACAGACAGCTAAGGGGCCATTGAATATATTATATTATATATATATATATCCTATGTTTAGGCGTAACAAGAGGATAAAATTGCGTAACATACGGCCGTAGCTGACTGAATCCCTGTAATCTTGGATTTGATCACTTTGTCGGCTGATTAATTTAACCGATATAACTTGTTCTTATATGATTTAACCAAGATTAAATTGCAGTTGCTGTTGGACTTAGTTCATTGTGTTTCAAAACACTTAGTTGATTGGGCATACACTCTTTTATTATTTTTAAGTCCATTAACTTAGTTTTTATCTTTGTAATTCCATAACCCACTTTCTTTGTCCTTTTTACCGTTGGAGTAGCTTAAGCTATCATTTTTCCTTTTTAGTCTCGCAGTAGACTTCGGCTCTCTCTCTTGTTCTGTTGCAATTATTTTGCTTCTCATCTCTCTTTCATTGTTTTAAATCTGACATTCTCTTTAGAAATTTTGTTGTGTTTCTATAAGGAACTATTAAAAGGGTTGTTAAACATTCTTTACAACAAGTGTGTGTTGGTGAAGGTGAATCCATAAAAATTCTGGGAGGTTATCGTGCCAAGAACTTATCACACCAAATCATTGACTTCGAGAGACGCGAATCAACCTTTAAGGACAAAGTTTTGGCTTGATCTATAGTTTGATAAGATCGTTCCTTTACTTATATCTCATAAATTGTGATTTTAGGGCAAATCATTTCTGAGTCTAAATTTGTCTTTGTTTTAAGAAATTAATTGTGCAAGAGTTGTTTTTCTTACATCATTTCATTGTTTTATTAACTAAATTCCACAACAATCTTAAAGGTTGATTTTTGCAATTGATACACAACTTCTTGCCCAAACAAAGATCTTACCCGATGTGTCAAAAATTGAACCTTTTGATGAAAATAATTTTTGTAGATGGAAACAAAAGGTTATTGATGTGTTGGATTTTTCAAAATTATCATTTGTTTTAACCGAACTTAGACCCGATAATAATACTAAAAATTATGTTCAAGCTTTAGAAAATTAGAATCTTGCCGATAAATTATGCTCGAGTACTATTTGTAATGTTTTGTCTAATGATCTATTTGATGTGTATAGTCACGTTGAGAATGCTAAATTTTATGGGTTGAGTTGATATCAAAATATGAATTTGAGGATGAAGTTACTAAAAAATTTTTGGCCATTAATTTCATTCATTATCAAATGGTCGAGGACAAGACCATTATATTACAAATTTATGAGTTTCAAAATACAATAAATGGGTTGGCCACAGGGGCGGAGCCAGGATTTTGACTCAGTGGGGGCAACCTATTCTTAAATTTCAAAGTATAATTGTAACATTGTTTTTATCAAAATATGTATTTTTGATAAATTGTTTATAAACATAATTATATCAAAAAAATGTCATTTAGAGGAGCAACTCATGTATATGAGTGATGTACATAAAAAGACAACAAAAAAACTTCACATCAAAAGTATCCTTTAGTGTTTGAGATACTGTACAAAATGAACTCCCAACTCTCGAACATCCAATAAAGCCTTATAATTGTTCTCGACAAGTTTTCATATTTTGGAACCGTTGCATAATCATTTCATTTTCATTGATACTTAAAACATCTTTCTCAATATATGCAACTAAGTAATCATTCATCCATTGATCTCCCATTCGATTGCGCAATTGATTCATTATTATGTTCATTGCTGAAAATGCTCTTTCGACTGTTGCAGTGGCAACTGGTAAGATAAGTGCTAGTTTGTCATTCTGTAGATATGCTCTCCGAATTTCATTCCGGTCATTAGAATGATAATCCGAAATTCTAATTCTTAGCCCAGGATCTGTAGGAAGATTTTTTAAGTTAACTCCTTCATGACTTTGATTAAAACAATGTTGTATGTCATCACCACGATCATCTATTTCTTGACTAGGAGGTAGTTGTTTCAATGTTGATTTTCTTATAAGAACATATCCATAGCTGGTTGAAAAATAAATTTGTCTAATTAGATTCAAATTTAAAAGTTTGTCATTAAGTTTGTAACAAATTAGATAGTGAACTACACATAATCAAAATATAATCCATAAATTTAAAATATAATTCAAACTAGAATTTCAAAAAATCAATTAAAGAAATTTAATCATAGGGAAGAAATATAACACTAACCAAGAATTTTAGATAGCTAATCTGAACAGGAGCTTCAACAAAAATCTAAAATAGTTGAGTGGTGACCCAAGGTGAAACAAAGATAACCTACATAAATCCATAAATAATACACCAAACAACCATAAATTCTACATGAACTAAACTAATTTTTTGATTATAAAAATCTGATTTAAGATCAATTTCGAGGCAGAGAAGCTGAAACTCACCTTGTCCCACGACGAATACTATTGGATTTATTTAGA